TTTTATTTATACTATACATTTACTGTATTTCTTTTATTAGATTTAAGCCACAAATTGTTATTAAATTTTAAAAAATTGTAATTGGGTCTTACCCGTTTAAATAAATAAATAAATAAATAACAAAAATAACAGTTGGATTACCGAAGTGCGAAATCTATATATTATGGTCGCTAAAAGTAGATTGTTGTTGAGTTATTTTTATACGTTAAAATTCAATGCAGCCGATATCATTATTTTATTATATTTTATCTGATCATATTATAAAAATAAAAATCACATTCAAAAAACAAGAATTTTGAATATTTTTTGAATTACTTTCATGGGGTAGCATAGTTAATAATTCGCAAAAATGGTGGGATAGCAACTATTCCCCTTGCTACCCCATAATGACGCCTATGACCATTGCACTGATTTAAATGTTTGACTGAAAGTGGGAATTATCTAAAAAATATTGCCACACAACAATCACAGTGCAAGAAGATGACGGCTGACATCATATTATTATTCTTAATCAATATATCAGCCGCCAACAATTTTCATACTGCATAAAGGTGTGCGATCCCATCTTACGCAATCCTATGACGCTCTTCCCGGGCGTTTTTTACAAGCCGCCCCAAATTTCCTTTGGCGCGGGTCACAGATACCGACCATCATCGGGAAAGATCGCGCCATGGGATCGTACCTTAATATAGCCTATAGCTCAAGAGTAGGCAACTTGCAGCTATTTAGGTTACGCTTAAACATTGGGAATTTGATTGGCTGGAGCGTGACATGTTTTAAGGAGTAATATTTAGGCATTTCATATAGCATTTATATTTGAGCCGTGTTACTGTGTAAGTAAATGATTGTAAGTAGTGTAAGTATTCCGTTATCGATCGGTCGCAGCACCGCGACCGCCTGCCTATAATCCACTTTACGAACTCTCGGGATTACGGTCTATGATGATAATCAAAATAAATTACAGAAACAAGTTTTAAAATAAAAACAAAATTTACGTCAAGTTATAGAAGTATCAACGGTCAACAAAATATTAGTCTTCTGATAATGAATACAAACAATTTTTATACTACCAACTTATATTTTTCTGTATAATGCCAATGGGTCATTGGCAGTGACGCAACTAGGATCTCAGGGCCCCGATGATAAGAAAGTCTGAAGTCCTATAACTATTTAAGTGTTGGTAAATTATTTTTTTTTTCAATAAAGATTTCTTACTATTTACTTATCATTAAATACACTACTCAATTATTCAGCGTTAAAAATACCTTCCAAACTAACAACTACAATGAGACCCTCTTTGAGTCTTGGGGTCCCGGATGTTAGAAAAAAATACGTAATACACAAAACAAATTCTTTTAAGAGACTACACATTGGTTACAAACATCATCAGTCATCAGACTAATCGAAATTAGAAAATCAAAATTAGAATATTACTTTTATTGGCTGTGGAATAATCTCGAAACAGTTATGCCAGACGATAATTGTTAATTATTATATTGTGCTTACCATCGTCGACAGGTGTTTTCTTATCATATCATATCCAGGAATCGATTATTCCAACAGTTGATTTTCAATTAGCATTGCCGATATAGAAGTCATACGCAAGACTAAAAAAAATTAAGGATTGTTCAAACCAGTGCAAAACTCTTTGGACATCATGATCTTGTAATTTTTATTAAAAATATGGGTTCTCAAAAACGTTGCCGATCCTGGCTATAGATACATGTATAAATGTGTATTTGTACAAATAAATAGTAATATATATTTGTTTCTACAAATAAAATAAAAACTTTTATAAGGTATGTTTCCAATCTTTAATTTATTTAAAATACAAAATAATCAAATTAATATTACTTTCCTAGTAATTTTTTAAGATATAAACATAATTTACATATATGTTTTACAATAGTATAATTGTACAATATTAATCTTCAGCTCCTAATTTTTCCATATCATCAGCATTATCAGTGTTTAAACATTCAATTGGCTTACAAAAATGTTCTTCTATTTGTTTCAATATAGCATGATCACTACTACCGCTAACGAGGTTAATAGCAATACCTTTTTTACCAAAACGTCCAGTACGTCCAATTCTGTGTAAGTATGTATCATAATCTGGCTCACGAGTAACTGTCACAGGCAAATCAAAATTAATAACAATTGTCACTTGTTCAATATCAATACCTAAAAGAGTAAAATAAAATGTTATAATATGTATTTAAAAAATATCAATAATAGGCAAACATTACATTACCTCTAGATAAAACATTTGTTGTGATGAGGACTTTTTCTTTTCCTTCACGAAAACTATCTAAGACTGATATTCTTTGTTGAACAGTAAGTTCACCAGATAATAGAGCTACAGCATGTCCATGTTCTGTCATTTGATTCACTAACCATAGAGCCATTTTCTTTGTCTGGAACAAAAAGAATTTAAAAATATACAAATACAGTCGAATTTGATTAGTTTGAAGTTTTAGAGACCAGCAAAAAAGTTTGAGTTATTCAAGAATTCGAGTAATTCAAAAAAATCAAAACTAAAATTTTAAAATATACAAAAAACAGTACAACTTATTAATGACTACGTATTTATTAAAATATGTAAGTTTGTACTATTTATATATAATATATAATATACATATTATGTATAAATTGTAAAACATATAAAAAAATATTAGATTAGAGAATTATTTAAAAAAAAATATATTTATTTATTTTTTTACTGTTGATAGCAGCATTTGCAGTGCAATTCACTTTTAAGTAAAGTTACAAAGATTTTATCATTGATCTCTGGTTTATTTTACATAAATCGCCACAATTTATTATATATGTGCTTACGCAATCGTGAGGATGGGGTTTCAGAAGATTCATGTTCCTATTTCTGGTGTATATAGTAAGCCAGATACATAACCAATCGTCGAAAGTTCACTAATGACCTTATTATTGATAGTAAATGTGAAAATAAAAGTGCAGGCGCGTACACAAGGGGGGGGGGGGTTTAAGGGGTTCAAACCCCTTCCGAAATTTAGGAAAATTATTATATATGTTTTTATATATTAAAATTAGTATATAGATTATATTATTATGAAAATGTACAACCTAAAAGCCCCTCCCAAAATATTTTTTTGTGTATGCGCCTGCAATAGTGTAATATTATGATTTTATAATTTTAGAAAAATCCGAAACTTCAAGTTAATCATAAAAATATTCAAGTCAGACAAGAATTTTTTGCATTGTTTAAATGTTTACAGACCGGAGAAAAATTTTACGGTATCGACAATATCGAGTTAACTACGTTCTAATGTATTATCAAATAAATTGCAATAATAAGTACCTAAAAATAAAAATGTAAACTTTATTTATATTAATGTATTTAATCACAAATTTATAAATGGAATAATCCAGAGTTTCTTAATCTAAAAGTCACGAATAATTTTGAATTAGTCAAGATGTTTTAAATATTAACAATTCCAACTTCCTCCAATGACTACATAAAACATTATTTTCAAAAAGGTCGCATGATAAATTGAGTAAATATCTTGGATAGACTAAAAAGGTTGAGAACCACTGAAGAATACAAACACCACGTAATTATAAAACAAAATATGAATTCTTGTAAATAAAACTTGTGGCAACACTGATCTTTATCTTTCCAGATCATTATCACTTGCTAACAAAAATTTCACCAATTCTCAAAATTAAAAAGATTAACTAAATAAATTTTAAATAAAAATAAAATAATAGTAATATTGTTTTCTATATTATAAAAAAACATTTTTTAAAAAGGTAAGAATTCAACATTTATATGTGGATAGACTTAAATTAACTCATTTAATTGAAAAGTTAGTACCTTCTGAAAATTATTCAGTTGTGCATGTTATGTTAATTTATTTAAATTATAATTTAATATATTAAGATAAATCGTCATAAATATGAAATTTAAATAATACATGCTCAAGTTAAATATTGATAAAAATATTGTTATTGCTGATAATACAATTGTTTTAAATTGGGAATTAGCAATCTTTTTGCTTTTGTGGACCTAAATCAATCATATGTTTAAACTTTTATGTTTATGATGCATTTAAATAAAAATATTAACTATTGTCTTTATTAATACCTATATTATATGTTGGTAATAAACAGGCTCATTGCTATAATATTTGTAATATTAAGGTGTAGCATATTAATTATAATTTACATATGATTCAAGGTATCAAATATTTAAATAGTTACACAGGCTTCAAATTTGCTGGTCCGGCTCTAAATTAATTTAACATTAAAGCTCAAGATTTTAAGTGAATAAAAATTACATTCTAAAATACATTTTGATAATAATAAATGAATCCGAGAAAATATTTTATTATAATACACCGTATAATAAAAATTTAATTTATAAGTATTAATGATCGATAGGTAGGCAATAAATTCAACAATTACTAAATTTGTATCATAGTTTTAATATTTCATTTTTTAGGAATTAATATATAAAAGAAAAATAATGCATAATCGACTTAAAGTACGTACAACTGAAGCACAAAAAGCTGCAGCAGATCGGGAAAAAGAAAAAAAACTTCAACTTTATCGAAAAAGTCTCAAAAATGTATTTGAACATCGGTCACATGGTGATCATGATGATTTAGCATTAAAATCATCAGAGGGACTCTTACGATCCAATCCTGATATTGTTACTTTATGGAATTATAGAAAAGAAATATTATTACGTTTGAATCCATCAAAAGAAATGATTGAAGAAGAACTTTATTTAACTGAGAAATGTTTACAAGTAAATCCAAAATCTTATTCAGCATGGTATCATCGAAACTGGGTATTAGAAAATGTAGATCCTAATCCAGATTGGAATAAAGAATTGTTATTGTGCACAAAATACTTAAAAATGGATGAAAGAAATTTTCATTGCTGGGATTATCGACAAATAGTTGCATTAAAATGTCAAGAACCACATGAAAATGAATTGAAGTTTACTTTAGAAATGATAGAATCTAATTTTTCAAACTATTCTGCATGGCATTATCGATCAAAACTTTTTAGTGCAGCAGGAAAAGATGAAGAATCAACAAAAATTTCAGAATTATCATTAGTAGAAAGCGCAGCCTTTACTGATCCTTTTGACCAAAGTGCTTGGATATATCAGCGATGGTTGATAGGAAAGTTAGAACCATCAAAGTATATTTATAATGCTTCAATAATTGAAAGTAAAATTTATCTCATACTTAACAGAAATTTACCAAATAATTATAAAATCATAGGTTTAGACAATAATAATTGGGAACATTTTGATTCAAAAATTTGGTTTAAAGAAGTTGATTGTGTAGACAACATCGAAATAAAAATTATTAACGAATTGAATCAAGTAGAAGATAAGATATTAATAAATAATATTCGACAAGATATATTTAATTTTATTATTAGCGAACAACTCCAACTTGTTATGAAAGCACAACTAGATAGTTTACAACAATTATTAGAAATGGAACCAGAAAGTAAATGGGCTTTACTGACATATGTACTACTATTATACACATTAAAACCAAAAAATTATTTTGAAAAATGCATAGAAAATCTCAAGTTATTAAAAGTAATTGACACTTTGAGAAAAAATTATTATAATGATCTTGAAAGTCGTTACCGAATTGAAAATTGGATTGCAAATAATAATAGTACAGAATTTGTAACTTTAAAAGGATATGGATTAACAGCATTTTATCACATGCATATGTTTCTATTTAGCAAACATATTGATTTGAGTGATAATGATTTATCTAAAAGCAATTTAAACCATTTCAAATACTTAACTATGTGTAAACATTTATCTTTGAAGAATTGTCAACTGGTAAACTTAAATAACTTTCCAGCTTTACAAAATCTTGAAATTATAGATTTAAGAGAAAACCAAATTCAAGATACTTCATGGGAGGAATTAAAAAAATGTAAACTTCTCAAATCGATTTTAGTGGATAATAAACAAACAGTGACTGAGAAAATATTACAAGGAATCATTCAGTCTATTAATATTAATGATGAATAATTATGATACACATTTCATATGGTTATTTTTCATGAAGCTTAATTTATGTTAAAATGTATGTCTTATATATACTTATTTATAGTCAATTTCTATTTTAATAACTAAAACTTTTTTACAGTTAATTTAATTTTTAAGTATCATAATAATCTTAGTACACTAAATTAGTTTATATATATATATAATAAACATCCAATACAAGTATTTATAATTTTGAAAATATTTTTTGTCTATTATTTTATTAGTAATAAAGTTTGTTTTATTTCAAATATTTGACTGTATTATTTGTTTTGCTTTTCAACTGATTGTCACTATGCACAAATATTTTATTTTCCAACTAATTTTAATATTATAAGTAGGGCGCAGATTTTTATGTAACATAATTTTATTGAATGTGAATTTCTCAATTTCAATTAAAAATAAGCATGTTTCATAATAACCTAAATAATATGAGATATTTTTATTTTAAATATTTTCACATATTTTGATGTAAATACATATTTTTAAATATTTCACCAATATAAACATATTTTGTAAATATTTTTACATTTTCATACCTATACAGTTTTTATTTGTATTAAAATTATTATATTGGAATTAAATTATAAAAGTTATTTCAAATCTTGATTCAGATACTACAATCACTATTACACAAGCTTCTGATATTAAGTAAAATAATGAACTGAATAATATATCTTCAATAATTTTTGTTTCTTGGTTAAAGTAAAAAAAAATTAAAAACATTAAATCTAACAATAGTTAAAAGTTTTATAACAGTAGAAAATGCAGAAATCAAATTAAATAAAGTTCAAAGAGAATCCGGAGTTATAATAAAAAATTAATTAAATATGTACTCGGTAATAACGTTTGTTTACAAAAAAAAAAAAATAAAACTATTAGAGATATTCTTATGAATAAAAATGATATTAAAGTAACACTATCCGATATATGTGGTATAAAATATGCCCCAATAACCAGGTTGAATCACTTTGAAACCTAACGCATGTAGGTACATTAAAATTTTAAAACCTCCAAATGTATGTTGAATCTAATTGTTTCAAAGAAGACAACAATGAAGATGATTAGATGAATAATTATTATTAAATTAGTAATTAAAAGTTAATGTAAAATATGGATTTTTTTTTGTTATATATTTTACATTTTTTAATACATATTTTGGAAAAAATAAGAACAAGTTTTTATATATTTTGATTTTTTTATTACATAAAAATCCGCGCTCTAATTATAATTAATGGTTAATGTTTTCAAAATATTAGTATCAATTATTTTAATAATTAAAATTCATAATTTACTTAAGAAAACAATTTACAGAGTAGTTTAAATTGATACTTAAATCTTCATATATGATAAATACTTATTAATTATATTTAATAATATCAAATATGAGGACTTGACTCAAATTTTTCCTGAGTTGAATAAATTAAATACTTATGGATTATAATTATAATTCATTCAAACAGTTTTTAAAATTTAAAGAACATAAGATATATACATAAACAACAGTCGTTTTAATATGTAAAAATAAACAATGTGTCTTATTTATTGAACTAAAAATGTACAAAAGTACGTTTCAAGAAATGTAATGTTGTAATGCAATGGCCAAAAGTGAATAGGGCTCCCCATAATGTATATAAAAAATAAATGTATAAAAAGTTATTTACTTATACTAATTAATAGTTATCTTTGTTAACATTATTGTTATAATTTCATTATGTTATTATACTTGTGAAAGCCAATTATTGTCAATGTATATAAAATGAAATAGTTTCTATAAAAATGAAATATTAGAATTTGGTCTACTAGACACATTATATTTGAGTCTTAAATGTTATGAAATGTACTATAATAAGTTGATTTTATTTTTAATTTAATTACCTGACAAAAAATCATTGCTTGTCCAATTGTAACACCTCCATAAATATTAACTAATGCATTATATTTATCTTCTTTGTTGTTGCAGTTAACATAATATTGTCTAATATTATCTAAAGTCTCTTCTTCACGTTTTAATCTTATAATGACTGACATAGGTGCAATAGCATTAGCAAATCTCATTACATCTTCTGTGTATGTAGCAGAAAAGAACATCATCTGACAAGTTTCTGGAAGTAACCTTAACAATAAATTCAATTTTTACAATTTATGTATACATTTGATTTATTTAGTAATTTACTTTCTAATACGGAAACTTTGATCTTGATGACCTTGAGTATCAACCATAATATCAGCTTCATCCAAGACAAATACTTTAATATTTTTCGGGTCAAAAAATTTATACTTAGTTGCCCAATCTAGAACTTTACCAGGAGTGCCAACAATTATTTGCTCTTCTATTTTTGAACCTTTTTCAACTATAAAATTAATATAATGTAAATTACATTTTTTTTTTTTTTTTATATCAGTATTATATACCATCTTCACCACGAACAGCATATCTAAGCCTGATATTAGGACAGTAGGTCGACATTTTTGCCGCAACTTCTCCAGTTTGAATAGCTAATTCATAAGTAGGAGATAAACAAACTACCTAAAATGTATACATTTATTTACTGTATAAAATATTATAAATATTTTAAAGTTCATTATTGGAATTAAAATTACTTGTGGATATTGTAATTCTGGATCAACTCTACTTAACATAGCCAAAACGAAAGCTGCTGTTTTTCCAGTACCAGACTGTGATTGAGCAATCAAATTCTGAGGACTAAAAGACCCAAATTAACTAAAAACTGTACAAACCATTAACATTAAATAGTAACTAACACTTTAATTTAGAATATACGATTTACTTCATTTATACTTTTTAACTAATTTAAGAAACAAGATTATATTATTTATATAAACTATTTTGAAATATATAATATTTTTATATTGATCAATCTTAATATTTGCATGTATAATTTAAAATACTGTGTTCTGCTACATTCTCAATTAGAAATATGGGATCCAAATTTTAGCCAAGGCCTTATACAGTGGCGCATGCAGGAGAGAGGGGGGTTAAGGGGTTATACCCCCTCCAGAAATTTTCTCCGATGTCTAGGTTAAAATTTACAAATTTTACAAGTTTGAAATATGAAGAGCTAGTATTGAATACCTAGTATCATTGATTATAGAATAGTCTATTTTATTATCAATACTATTATTTAAGTCAAAGTATATTAAGGATTTGCATAATTTTGTGAATTGTAAAATGTGTTATATTTTTTTACCTTGACTCCCCCCGAAAAAAAATCCTCTGTGCACCACTGGCCTTATAACCGTGCAATTTTTATTAACACCAAAAGTTGTTCAAGAAAAATGGTTGCAAAAATTCCACAAAAGTTAGTCTGAAGGACCCAGGTTAACATAGAGGCCACTAGCATCAAACCTATGCCTATTCTCGTCTAAAATTGGGCACCCCACTCTCCACTGGAACATGAGGTATTTTATTACTATCAAGCGCTTGTCCCAACATCCAAAGAAGGCTCCTCAACCTCAGGGGGCAAATTGGTAGACAATTTGAAGCATATCTTAGCATTTTATAAAAATATAAATAAATATTAAAAAGTATATAAATTAATAAATAAATAGTAATAAAAAAAAAAAAAAAAAATGAAAAAAGAAAAAAAAGTTAAATGGTAGTAAAGAGAAATATGATAGATATTTTATTTTAAATTAGTCATTGCTAATATTCTTTTAGTTAACATTAAAGAGCAAAGTACTTTAATTATCTATCAGTCTGTAATAAGTGAATAATTTAAGAATAAAATAGGTAATAAGATACGGTGAGTAAATATAAAATTATAATTAATAATTAAACAACTTAGTAGTTGACCTTATTCATTTATAAATTTATAAGTTTTAACTTCATATAAGTTGTTTTATTAATACATAATCAATAGCTAAGAAAAGTTTCAATAATAGAAGAAAATAAACTAATATAATTTATATTATTCATTTGAAAATATACTGTACTCTACACAGCGAGAAAATGTGCTGCGGCACTACCAAAATTAGTTCATTCTTGCTTATTCCTAGCCATAGATTTCCCTTCTTAGGTTGCTTTGTTGACGATAAACAATAATTTATTAATAACATTATAAGAAACAAATTTCAGTGTGCATACTTGTATCCTATATGAGTGGCAACAATTAAGTGTAAGGTCACCCAAGGGTTTTATTAACGGACGTTACGATGGACGTCATGACGTCTGTTGTTGAAATTTATTATAATTATACCTAACAGCCACATATACAACGTCCATTGAATTTATCGTCCGTTTGACGTTGATGACAAGAAAGACATTCTATAATGTCCGTTACAATTTGTTTATTAGCGTTGTAGATTATTATTAAATTCAATTGACAAAGACAGACGAACGTTGTATTGACATCCATTCTTGTACATTTTTCAGTATTTTAGTTCATGTTTTTCACTAGTAGAAGGTGATATATTATCAATTTTAAATTAAATTTTTTATATTTAAAGTTGTTCAATATGGAGACTACTGAGCAATTAATATCGGAAGTTGAAAAACGACCAGTATTGTGGAACATGTTTGATGAATCTTATAAAGATAAAAATAAAAAAAATGAAGCTTGGTTGAACGTTACGTCTGCTTTAAATGAAAATTATTCAAATAACATAGTAAACTCGTAATCTATTATAAGGAGTGTAAAAATCTGTGTAATTATGTAATAATCTTTCACTATTAATTGGGTGCACCCACCATTTTCTTTGCACTCGTTTTTTTTCGCAAATAATTTTTAAAGCAGTATACCCAAAAATCGCAACCTCCTCGTTATCCATTTTGATGAAAACTGACGTTGTCTCTAGTTAGTGTGACTGAAAAAGTAATGTCCGTTAATACAACGCTCGTGTGACCTTACACTAATAGGTTGTTTATCAACCACTACCATACATCAATCAGCTATCTTTTGAATGATTGGGTAGTTAAGAGGGGAAACAAAATCTTAACAATGACTCGACCGTCATTCTACATGCGCTCAACTTTGGCACATTCTCTCATTGGATAGACTATTAAAAAATATACAATAATATACTTACGGGTTGGCTAAAAGCAAAGGCAAAGCTGTTTCTTGTATTTTGGATGGTGCATTATATCCCATTTCATAAACTCCTCTAAGCAAGTTTGGATGACTAAAAAATGTTTAGTAAATACTAGTTAAAATTTCAGACAATTAATTAATATAACTAATGTTAATTAATCACTGATTTTAATCATTTATACAAAATGTCTTTTAAAAATTTTTATTTTTGAGTTAGTATTAAAACAAAAGTTATAAGAAGACAATAAATACATTTTTCTTAAAATAGTTACATAGGTACGATATTTTAAGATCTTACAGTTTAAGCAGTTCAAACGACTTGACTGAATACAGTGGTGATTTTGGGTCACGTCTTTGCACTTCAATATCATGTTTAGATGTTATGAGACCTGTACGTACAATCTTTTGTAACAATGATTTTTCAGATGGTGCCAATTCTTTATCTTCATCACTGGCAGTGCTATTCTGTACTTCAGTTGAGTAATTATTCTTGCCAGAATCTATACTTGTGTTATTCAACTGAACAGAGAGAATACTTTCAGTTTATTTAAACGATAAACATTGTGATACACAAAAAAATAATATTTATATCTACACTAAGAAGTTTGAAGAAATAAAATAATACTTACGTTTTTGGTGATATTGTCCATGATTGCAAAATGGAAAATAAACAATACGTAAAACTAAAATGAATAACTGTAATAGGAAAATATGATTTCAAACGGAATGATTTTAATTTGTAAGCCGTCACCTGACAGTGGAAAAGAAATGTATACGGGCAATGCGTCTTTTTGGGATTCTGTTTGTATATTGTATAAACTGTATCATGTACTATCAAGTATCAACCGCCGACATGAGAATTCAGTATTTTATAGAAGGTTATACCACAGATAACATTAATGCATTGTGTAAACCACGGTTTAAACCACAGATCTTTATTTATGTCTATGATGCAAATATTGTAGGTTATGGCGACAACTTAATAATCCGTTCGTTGTTTTATAGAATAAGGCGGACTATACACTGAAGAAACTAGTTTTAAGAAACCAATTTCATGGAACCATTCAATTAAAAAACAAGGAATGCGCACATCGAGTTTCATGAAACAAAAATTTCTCATCGTTACGCAACTGCGGTTTCATGAAACATGTGATTTTGGTTTCAATAATATAGTTTCATCAGTTATGACCGTTTCTAATTAATAGTTTAGAAACATTTTAAAAAGTTTTGTATATACGTGTACATTATTTAGGTTATATTTTTATGTTACCAAATTTAAATATAATAATACATCGTATTATATTATACACCATTTATTTAACATTCAAAGCAATAGTATTAATATAAATAGTATATATACTTGGGAAATTTGAATCGTATAAATTGAATAGTGTTAAATACTGATAGGTAGTAATATTACACTAAACGGTAAAAAGTAACTTGAGACATTCTACAGAAACTTTGGAATTTATCCTCATCAGAGGTCAATTGCTTTGAAACCACATAGCTACTACTATGCTGCCTATCTTTTAAAAGTGAATGAATCCAATACTTACGTTTCCTTTTTTTGTTACGAAGCCACATAACATGAACACATCCTCATCATCAGACGGCATAGTTGAAACTATAGGTACATTCAGTTTCATCGGTATACGGCTAATATAAAATAAGTTTCATAAAATTAATTTCACGAAATTGGTTTCTCAAAACTAATTTTTTCAGTTTGCAGCTCACATAACTTAAATTATAAATTATCTGAATAATAAATTAAATTATTTGGTGGATTTTATTTATTGAATTAATTAAACCAAAGCTACTTTTTTTGTTAGAAATTTGAAAATTCAATCCAACACTCAACTACTTTATAATTTGGATTCCCTTACATGTAAACACTTAACCAGATCTTATAAATTCAATAGGGTAAGATAATAATGATCATTGAATAAAATTAGAACCATAAAATAGATTTAGTTACATTACATTAAATGTAATTTATACTAGAACTTTAGTGATAAAAAGAAAAATTGTATTGTTATATAAACAATACAATATAATTTTAAATAGTACCTATACAAATATTGAATTACATATATCTATTAATAAAAGTTATTTTAAATCTAACTTAATAAATACTAATGAACACAAATTAAGCAAATATACTAATAAAAACAAAAAAGTAATAAAAATAATGAAATAGTTCATTTTTAAAGAATCATTTTTATTTTATACAATCATGCATGTTTCAAACACAGTAAATTAGATAATTTAAAAACCATTTTTTAAGTTTTAGCATTTTTGTTATTAATAATCCAAAACCTTACTTAGTTATTATTATTAAAATAAGTTTATACGAACCAAAGAAAACTAATCACCTATAATGTATTTTGGTAAATAAAAGACAATAAAATTTTCACAAAGTAAATACAGTCTCCATATCAAATGAGTCAAATTTATACCAACGAGAAAAATTACAACAAACAAATTTAATCAGAAACTTACAAATACCAAATATCTGAAATCTGAATAAATTAATTTATAATTTAAATATTTTAAAATATCAACACTAATCATTGAAAATTAAATAACTATAAATGTAATCTGAAGATTTTAAAACTTAGGATTTTATCATTAATTCCTATAGATATTTGTAAGTTTCATTTAAAAGATGTATGAATTAATTAAAATTAAAATATGTATAAAGTCAGCCATAAAATTATATATTAAAAAAAAAAAAATTAAAGTTTAAAAATTATAACTAAAACTGACTGAAAAATAAAAACAGTCTTAAGAGAAGAAATTTTTACACTGATATTGTTAAAACCCATAGACAAGTGTCAAAACTTTAATATTTTAGCAAATAAAGAAGCCATAGCTTCGTTTTTGTTTCCATTGAATCTCTTCAATTCTTGAATTACCTAAAAAAAAAAAAAATTTAACTTTATGTATTACAATGTAAATTTTACAAATATAGGGTTAGATATAATAGCAATAATAATAAATATATTATAAAATAAAATAATAATCATTATACTAAGGAATAAAACAAATACTGATTTATTAATTCCAATGGTAGATGCAACCTTTTAAATTATATTTGTATTTATACTGTTAAGGTAAAATACATTTATAAGTTAATGCAGGGGCGTCATTTCACGTTTTTTCATGAGATGCAAAACCAATATTTAAAATCTAAAGTAATAGGTAACAGTTGCTTGCATGGTCAAGTCACCCCATGAATTTTTTTCAACAGCTTTTTTGTGTAAATGTAGATTATTTCATAGAAATTATACTATAAAACAAATAACAATAATTTCGTTAATAAAAATGGTTTTTATTTTGTTTTAACACAAAATTATATGAATCACCACAGCAAATTGTTCAATAATCAATTAGATCAGCGATTCCCAAACTGTGCACCGCGGTGCCCTAGGGGAACCACAATCATTTCCTAAGGGCACCGCGGTCTACACACAGTTCATAACAAATAGTTGAATATGTATAAAATTGTTTTTACTTATAGTTTTCGTAAAAATTTTATAGTAAATAATGTAATATTTTCTATTGTATATTCGGATTTTCTCATTTTGACCTTATAATAATTTTATATTATAATTATAATCATAATAACAATAATATTTATTTATTTACTTTTTAAGTTTACAAATGCATTAATTTATAATTAAGTTAAATTTTAATAAAATTAATAAAATTGGTTATCAATAGGTTTTTTTTTGTTCTGTAATGTAGTTCACAGCAGAGCACCGAGGATAAATTAGGTCCGAAAAATGAACTGCTGAAAAAAAGTTTGGGAACCGCTGAATTAGATAATACAACTGATCAAAATTAACTTTATTCGATCATTAGATGTTTTGAAAAACTAGTTCATATTGTATTGGTGATCAACAAAATATTGTGACAAATCAAAAAAAATTACAAAATTATTGTTATTTTTTTTATATAATTTTATGAAATGATTTACACAAAAAATGTGTTAAAAAAAATTCATGGGATGCATTTGCACACCCTTGCATCCCACAAATGACGCCACTGAGTTAAGGCCACTTCATTAAATGTATTCACATCATATATGACGTTTCATTACACAGAAAAAAAGATGTATGTATTGGGTTTATTTTAATTGTATTGATACACCTGTATTAAAACATAAAAACATGTAAAAATAATAAAACACAAACATTAAAGGAATACATAAATAGTATATATCTATTCTTTCTATTTTTCTATTTTGCTATTTTTAAAAACACTTATATAAATGATAGCAAATGTATGGATATTATAATATTTATAAATTAGTACTGTAAAACTGTTAAATACATAGTGGTGAGGGAGCTATGTATGCGAAAAAAAATGGTTTTCTTAGTTTCAAATATGAAAAAAAACTTAAATTACTATTATGATATTATCTGAGACAGATTTTTTAATTTCTCTTTTTAACAATAACAAAAATAATAATAATAATAATAAAAATAATAATATTTTATTAGCTTTATAATATAATTACCTGTTCTCTAGAAAATCCTAAGTTTATTAGTTCTACAATATCAGTTTCTTTATAAGAATGACTAGAACCACTCCTATTACCTAAAAATAATAAAAGTGAACATAATGAAAGTTAATTATTGTAAAATTGTACTGTATAGAAATGTTTTAGGATATCAAATAAAAATAATAAACAGGAAAAAAGAAAAACTAATTGGAAATCAGTAGGTACCTGGAAACAATGGGAAATGACTAACTTGAACAAATTAAGCACCTCTTCTTCGTTTATCTAATTAATGTTAACAAAGTAATTTTTATATACTTTGTTATAAATAAAAAAAGGTAATAATAGTTTCAAAGCAATTTTAAGATATTAAAAACATACTACTATTTTGTTGCACTTTTTTGCTTTCATCTAAAACTTTTTTCAGTTCTTTTTCTTCTTTTTTAGATAAATTTTGATCACTTGATGAAGTTAAACGGGCACAATCAGGCAGTTCACTTTCAGGCAAAAAAGGTGTTTCAGTTCCTGTTGTTCCAATTTTTAAAATATTATGTTCCAAATCTATACAACACTAATAATAACATAAAAATAATTAAAAAATGAAAGAGGAAATTTTATACTTTTTTAATATTTGTACTCACTTGATGTCTCTTCAACATGTCTAATCCTAAAAGCATGTCCATTGGTTGATCTTCAAGGACAGAAAAACTAGTGGTTAAAAAGTCATTTTCAATTGCCACTTGAACCATGTGTATCCTGCCAATTATTTTCTGAACACCAACACCCTTGGCTAATCCAGCCCATCTAGTATCTACTAAACGCATAATGTTACACCGCTCTGCACAGGCAGAAGACATGATTGTGGTTTGAGCTCCTGAATCAATAAATGCTTTAACAGGATACCCATCTACTTTACAATTTATGTAAAGCATCACAACTGTTCCAAACATTTCTGGATTGTATTCCATAGCAGCTTCCATGTTGGCTTCAATATTTTTTTGACGGATTTCCTCTGCTATTAACTTCTGAGCTTCAGAATCAAATGGATGAGCTTTCATTATTCTAATTCTTTGGTCTTCACGTTTATCTCTTTCTTCCATCTGCTCAGCCATGACTTTTGCAAAATCCTCTACAAATAAAATACAAACTTTAAGAAATAATGGTTTTTAGTTTTAATGCAATAAATAATATTATCAAAAAAATTTAAAATATGTTATATAATTGTGCCTATGCTTGATATAAAATTATTTAGGTAGACAAAAAATAAACCATTAATATGTATATGGATATTTATTATTATTATTACTATATTTAGGTTTTGATAGGTAAGTTACAGATAATTTATTAACAAAAATCCAGAACTTCAATATGATTTATATTAATATTAATATTTATTTATATCAATATGATTTCCAATATGAGCTATTTTTTTAACTTTGAATTTCATACTAAACCATTGGTTCAAAAATATAGCAGTTACAGTAATTAGTTATACTTAACACTATTAACAAGAGTTGAGACCCTTTTATATTAATGCACATAATAATTTTAACATAAAATAAATTGAATAAAAATATTTTATTTCTAAAAGAACATATGATTAATTATGATAAATTATTCACATATAATATCCATTGACTTATTTACTAGGATATTATGTTGATAAATACAATTCATCAAGTGACCATGAGTATTGGTTTTGCTAGGTATGATTGTATAATTTTTGAAATGATTTTATTTTTCTATTAAAGATATGTTATCTTGTATTTATTACAATTTTAACAGACTAACCTATTCTATCTGAGGACAGTGTATCAGCAAGTCTAGGATTATTTTGTTTAAGAAGCGCCAGTTGTTCTGGACTGGAGAGAAATAATTTTTTAACATATTCTGCATCTTGCATTTGATTTTGTCTCGTACTGCTAGAGTTACTGTTAGATGTACCAGGCACTTGAATACGGCTAAAATCAAATTGTGGTAGACTATCTATAAAAGAAAATTAAATTAAACATTGTCTTAAAACATTACTAGTATATGCGTACTATTGCTTGAGCTACTAAAAGACTGATCCATAGCAGTTGTGCTACCACTAAACTTTTGAATTATAATGACATCTCCATCATGAACACCTAAATTTTTCATTGTACTGAAATCGTCAACCAAAAGCTGCCCATTATGTGTAAGACCAGTTTGTTGTGATGGAATTCCTGTTTCAACTTCACATAGTGCCTTGAAATTGATAAGTTCCAGATCCTCGCTTATATCAAGTACAAACAAATGATCGTCATGTGTAGTTACAGTGATCTTCATTATGATAGATAATTATAATTTTATTAAAAAAGTATAAATTTATATAGCTACGTTAGAAATGTGTAGTAAATTTTTGTAGTATTTAAATAAAGAAAACCACCCAGTCATTCTTTGTTATTGTTGTCATGGCCACACGCTTATCAAAAATCATTTACATACTATAACGTAGATAGAAATGAATGAAATATTATGAAAACTTATTTTAAAATGTTACAAATAATATACTTATAAAAATGAAGTAATTTCTATAAAGAAATTCTGAATAAATTATTTTAAAATAATTAGTTTATTCTTCAATCGAAAAAAAAAACCTTCCCATATAATTCTGATTTTGGACACACTGTATTTTATCATAAGAAATTCGACATTTGACTTTGTCATATGATTTTAGATTAAGTAACTTTTTTCTCAGCAATACTTGCGACACACTACTCGAAGGTTTTCATTAAAAATTTCGCTAGTTACCGATTTTACAAATTCGTAAGTATGATGTATTATAAATACTTTATTTTTTTAACAAGGTTTTTCTATATAGGTGTACATTTTTCAGAACAATCATGTTCTCGTTTAACTCATTGCAAAAATTAAACGCCAATGGATTGGTCAGTCGATTCGTTCGGCGCAATATATCATCTTCGTCGGTATTGATGAATAATGTATCAGATCCAATTCAACAGCTGTTCTTAAACAAAATTCGTGAATACAAACAGACATTTGGCTCCAAGGCGTTTGATCCTTCAATTGATAAAGGTTACAAGGCTGATATAGAAAAGATCAGTAAACAGTATAACATTGGTCCAAATGAAGATCCAACCAAATTCCCAACAATTAAATTTGATGAAGTTAAAGTCGATCCTCAAGTTTGAAGAACATTACATTTTGTGTTTTTATACTAACCTAAGTAGTGATGTATTTATAATAAAATAGGATTAAGAAATGATAAAATCTACAATACATTTTTAAATAAACATTAGTGAAGTTTATTATTATTTAATTATTTAAAGTAGTAATAAATTTACAGATATATATGTTTATCTAATAGCTTTCTCAATTATGTTTTAAAATCATGGCAAGCATGTTCTTATCCAATTGGGTTATATGATCCTCTTAAGGTTAAATATCCCGTAATAATGTCACTAGGTAGATTTCTGACAGTGCTAAACTCTTCGTGTCCAGCATAATATAAAGATGTTTGTGGATCTTTATATTTAGCCTTCAAAAAATACAAAAAATAAATAAATAAGAAAATAATTTGAGTTATGATTTTCATTTAATATTCTTACGATTAGTCCACTTATATCTGAATATTTTTTGGACGGTTTGAATGAAGGTGGAGCTGAAATACTGCTGTCTATAAATAGAAACAAAAATAAAAATGTGTAACTTAAATAGTTATAAAAATAAATATTAATTTACAATAAATTGTATTTTCAGGCCATGGTAAATTTCTTTCTTGAGCAGTTATTTGCTTTAAAGATCGCCACAATTTTTTTTTCCCGTTTACAGTTTTGGTACTCTGTAAAATTTTTTAACAAAGTATAAATTATTAATAATTAAATTTGATATTGTATATAAAGTGGAGTCTCAATAGTCTGGACTTCCGATAAAACGGTGGACACGGTATTCTGGTCAGCATATAAATATAATCAATCTTGAAGGAGTATCTTGTATATACAACAGTATAATGGTACGTCGATTAAAAAAATGTGCTTTTGAAATTAAAATGAAAAGAAATATTCAGAAAATAATTATCGACTAATTTCATTAAGTTCTATTATTATAAAGTTTTTTTTTTTTTTCATAATATATTAATTGTTTATTATTTTTGCAGTTAAGTGTAATACAATAAAGGGGTGGAAATAAAAATAAAAATCTGGTGATCTGGACAATACTCGTTCTGAATTTGTCTGGACTATCTATCAAGGTTCTATAGTTCAATAAAAAAATGATTTAGATACAAATTACACATAATCGCATAGCTTATAGCATATATGATTGCAATATATAATTAATATATATTTATTTTCACTTATTATTAAAAAAAACATATCATGTATAAAAAATTTTTTGAAATTCCAACTGTGTCGCTATATGATACAAATAAATATATAATTTAAACCAAAAGAAAAATAATTAATTAATTAACATGAATTAATTACAAATATAAAAATTAATACTACTATAATTACTTTTTATTATTAAGAATGCTTATTAAATTCTACGGAATTGAAAAAGACTTAAAAAAGCTAAATAGCAAATAAAAATTTTTTAAATATACAAGAATAAGACTGCAAAATAGAAAAAAGCAAAATAGCACTTATACTTTGAAATATGCAACTTGAATTTTGTATTTAGCGTCTTAGTTATCTAAAACAAATGTATAGTTTGGATAGGTATTTCTAGGACCTCTCAAAAAAAAAAAAAAAAAAATGTAAATGCTAAAAGTTATGAGCCCTGTTTATTAAATTGATCTTTATACTGTACTTTTATTAAATCATTCTTAGATTAATCAATTGTTCAAAAAAAAAAAAAAGAAAATTTATGTTATTGATGTGTAATATGTGTTCATCCGATCCACTGTCCTATGTGAAATGGACAGTTTGTCATAGTATTTTAATAATGACTTTATTTACATTTTATGTTCGAAAATTTATATGTACTTACATCAAAGGTTGGGTCTTTAAACACATATTTCTTTTCTTCTTTATGTGATACTTCTTCTAAAGTATTATTTGCCATAAATTAATTTAAGTTTAGAAATGTGTTTAAAAAAAATTGTTCAGAAATAACTGAAAATAATAAATCATAACAAGTTTAATAATATACTTAAAAAAAAATATTGATACTGTTTTACAATTTTTTTTCTTCAAATAAATATTCTGTTATATACTTATATATTTAATAAATTATAATTAACTTTATTAAATTATAAAATTTGTACCATAATATATAAGTAGATTGTCAATTATTGTATTAGCAAACATAACATGATATAAATATACACCATTTCCACAACCCTAAGGCAACTTGGCCAAAAATATAATAAAAATGAATATATATTTACAGAGATATTTCCAATAGGAAACATGTTGCCACCATAAATTGATTACTTTGTATTTATTTATATAAATATCCTCTATGTTTATATACTATCCATGGTCATTTTAGAATTTTAGTAATTTAATGAAACTATGAATTTTTCAACTTAAAAATGTCTATCAGTATATTAAATTTATTAAAAAAGTAAGTAAATTAATGCAATATAAAATTTTATAGAATGTTAAAATTATTTTATGATTTTGAAAATGATATTTAACTTCAGTAATGGGATATAATTTACTACATAAATACATTAAAAAAAAAAAAAACTAGTAATTTAGTAGTTTTCAGTGATGTGTTTGTCTAAATTATTTATAAGTATTATAACTCAATATTTGATAAATAATTTTGTAGAAATAATGGTAATTTTCAACAAAAATAAGATAATTTATATGTTCATATTAACATTTTTTTTACATTACTCAAGACAAAATGTAATACTTAATTATTTATTTTAAAATATTTAACAAATACCAAAGAAAGTACATAATTAATTAGTTGTATTTCAAAATTAAAAATATTAAAAAAATTTGAGACTATTATTAATTTTTATTCATAGAATTAAAAATATGTAAAAATATAATTATTTTTTTAATAGCAGACTGATAAAATTTTCATTAATATTTGTGCCCAATATAAAATTTATGATGATGCTACATAACATATTAAATGCATTGAACTAATTCAAAACTAGAGGCTGAACTAGGGAGAGGAAGATGGGAATTCATCCTTGGGCTTAAAATTGTGGAGAATGTAAATTTTGTAGTATATAATCTATTATAGACTAATAGTTTGATATTTTAAACTTTATTACTGATAATATATTTAAAACCAAATAAGTATGATAGTATACAGTTATTAGAAACAAATTGTTGGGAAGTATGTTTGTTCCTTGGTCTATGATAGCGTCTAATTTTAACATTTTTCCCAAGTGTGAAAAATTCTAGTTCTATCTCTATCCAAATAATTTGTAAAAAATATACATAATGACTGGTACACTCCTTTTACTATAATCAAAATCTAAAATTTTAGAATTGGCAAACAAAAAAATTCTATTAAAAGACCTTGTAGGTCAGTATAAAAAAATTTGCTATTATTATTTTTACATAATCGAAATTAGCGTAATGAACAGAATTCAAAAGAGAGAAATGGTGTAAGCTTTAAAATAGAGTTTTCGTGTTTACTTTTGATAGTAAGAAATGTTCAACATCTGAAATTAATTTTGTTCGTTTGAACTTGGCGAGTTAAAACAATTCAAATATATTTGATCTCATATATCATTTTTAATTTTTGTATTCTTTTTATCTGTATAATGCTGTATAATTAATTCAAAACTAAGTAAACAGATAATTTAACAGTTACATAGTTTTTCGTCTAACATACATGTCTGCTAAAAGTTATTACAATACTGATAACTGGTTCAGTAGAATACTTACTATAGGTAATCAATAACGTCACTATTGCACCTTAATATAATTTTTTTATATTGTAAAATAACTTAGATGGTGCCCAACATATTTGACATGAACTGTATACATTAATATGAAAGTATTTTAAATTAGCACGATAACTTATCTTATCGTTATCAAGTTGACGCACCAACTGATAGTTTATGGTATTTGTTTGACCTCTAGTTATAAACGTCAAGAATAGAGGTCGTAAGTATATGTCCTACGTTCCTATCATATTTCACGTCACTTCTCGGGACCACTATCATTAACAAAAATCTCTATCCGGAGTTCATTGCATATTGATTTTATTTTGAATCCGTTCATTAGTCTCGCTTAATATATATTTTCTTCAAGGTCTTTCTCCAGTACTGTAAAAATGTCCCGAAAATTCTTTGTTGGAGGTAACTGGAAGATGAACGGATCGAAAAAGATTGCAGATGAATTATTAGGACATATATCAAGAGGACCTCTGGACCCTAATGTTGGTAAGTTAATGAAAATATATTTATTTGTACACGGTATTCATTTGAAGTCTTTTTTTGTTAGAGATATTAATTGGAGTGCCAGCCATATATTTGGATTTTGTCAAAGAACAGGCCCCTTGTACCGTACATGTATCAGCACAAAACTGTTTTAAAACTGAGAAGGGTGCATTTACTGGAGAAATAAGTCCCAGTATGTTAAAAGATATCGGTGTCGATTGGGTTATTTTGGGTCACTCTGAACGACGACAGATTTTCCAAGAGACTGATTTGGTTAGTATTTTATTAATTTCATGTTTGTATTAACAACTGTTAATATTTTTATTAAATCATTTTTATAGCTCATTGCTGAGAAAATAAATCACGCTCTTGAAACTGGATTGTCTGTTGTTGCATGTATTGGAGAAACTCTTGAAGAACGTGAAGCTGGACAAACTGAAGCTGTTGTAGCTAAACAAATCAAAGCTATAAAGGAGAAAATCTCCAATTGGCAAAATGTAGTTATTGCTTATGAGCCTGTCTGGGCCATCGGTACTGGAAAAACTGCTAGTCCTCAACAAGTAAGTAAATATAATCTCCAAAATAAATTTAATTATGACTTATAAACTAAAAAATATTTTTCAGGCCCAAGAAGTACATAAAGTTTTGCGAAAATGGTTGACTGATGAAGTGAGTGAAACTGTTGCCCAAAATACACGTATTATTTATGGAGGATCTGTCACTGCATCAAATTGCAAAGAACTAGCTAAAGAAGTTGATATTGATGGTTTTTTGGTTGGAGGTGCTTCATTAAAACCAGAATTTATTGACATTATCAATGCTAATCAATAATAAAGTTATACACATTTATGTAAACTAACTATTGTTGTTTTCTTATGAATTTGGTATAACATTTAATTTAATACTATTTAGAATTGATTAAAACAATAATTTTTAAAACAAAATTTCTATTTCTATTTGTTTTGAATTATATTTTTAAGACTCGTGTATCCTATAATTCATTAATTTGTATCATTTTATTTAGCAAGGAAACCGTTCATTATTTAGAATTAGACATTCTTCTTGTTATGTATATGCGTGTTATATTTTAAAGTATTAGGTGATTAAAAAAAAATAACAATTTATATTTTGAAAATGTTTAGTTTCTAATACCTTTTTAAACTCATATCTATTACTACATAACTATTATCTTTGTTCTGTTTTATTAAAACAAATAATTTAATATAAATTGGTTTCCATAAAACTAACTTTCATAAAATAAAAATAAAAAGAGTTAGTATGGAAGATACTTGGTAAACTAGATTTGCAATATATCCTTAAATAGGTTTATAAAGAAGCTTCTCAGCAATAAATAATAAAAAAATGTACTAAATAGTTGTAACTAAAATTATTTGTACCTGAATTGTGTGTAGGAGTAATATTTTTGATAAATTACTGCTTTCATTGTCTAGTATAATTTTTGTATCCATTATTGACTTATATTTCATTCAGTCAAAACTTAGATCATAAAAGTTATTTAAAACTTCACCATATTTAATTTCAACTGTATTAAGTAAGTACACAGATAAAATTTAATATTATATAGTTATAGTCTCTAGATGTTTGTTACATAATTAAAATTAATGGTTTATTCATAACAACTTTATTTTTTAGACTAAAGTTATCTAGTAATTTTTATACTTTTTTATTTTGTTTTCAACATTATGTTGTAATTTGTTCATTGCACTTAGTAATTTCAAATTAGTTTTTAGTAGCATTAAGTGGTTTCATTATATATAATTTATTTGTTTATTTATTAGCAATTGATATACTTATATAATATATAATCTTATTAGATATTTTTATTTATTTGTTTAGTAATTGAGATAAGAATGGTAATTTAATCATATTGTAGAATACTATACATAAATTGAATATAATTCATGATTAGCTAATGTTATTTTCAGGAGCATATATAGACTAGTACTATTCAATTATTTATTACCAAATTATTATCTTGCAAAATAAATACCTACATTTTAAATATGCGGTTGTAAAAAAATTGAGCCCTAACAATATCTATAAAAATTTGAATTTTATGCTTAATTAATACTGTGCGAGTGACAAAAATCATGCAATTTAATATCTATTGTGATACCTAAGTATTTTCGAGAGAAGGACAATTATAATCGTTTAAATTGTTCTGTCAGAAATTCAGAATCTTGAATTAGTTAAACGAAAAATTCGATATAGTTAAATAGGTATGTAATAATGAATAGTTTAAATACTTAAAAATTATAATCTATCTGTAAGCTAGATCCTCAGTACTGATTGTTCATCTATAGCAGTGGTTCTCAAACTTTTTTTTCGCGTACCATTTGAGTATATTATTAATCAGTCACGTACCACTAATAATTAAAAATAGAACTATTCAAACTTTACATAGTTAAATGCATTTATTTTAAATAAAGACAGTAAAATACTAAAATAAAATTATTATTTATTCATTTACACAAATTTATTAGCGTTTATAAATTAATATATGAGTTAAATATCAATTTTTTTAGTTTCCATTCTACCACCATGCGGCCTTTCGCGTACCACCGTATAGTCTTTCGCGTATCATAGTTTGAGAACCATTGATCTACAGGAACTCAAAAATAAAAAAAATATACTTACAAACAACATTATTCATTAATTAATAACTATTAAAACAATTATAATATTATAATATGAATTAATACCATTTGCATAAATATACTACACACGTAACTAACGGTATCGGATCTAGAAAAATTGACACCCGGGGCTAATAAAATGCAGCACCTTTATATAGGTGGAAGCAGGAGCGTATTCAGGAATTTTTATGGGAGGGGGTCCAACATTTTTCTTTTATCTGATAATGGGAAATTAAAATACACTATATACTATTATTATACTATTTACTATTAAATCATTGAGTATGTAGACATTTTAATGGGGAGGGGTTTGGGAGGCGGAATAGATCACTAGGGGAGTAAACAAATGTATTGTTAATTATTTAATTTTATTAATTAAATGCCTAGAAATTATGTAGCTGATCCTCGTTATAAAAAATACTGGAAATTAAATATTGATGATGCATTAACATTAAGACACGCATTAAAAAATAATTATTTGTATTACTCTACAAGAGTTGGAGAAATTGGTTTTTTATTTAAAGGATATCATTAGATTTTCCCTAATATCAAAACTCGATTTTTAATTGAATGTGCAAGTTAAGAAAATCACAAAAATCGTTACAATTCACCTCATTTTACAGTAGATACTCAAATAATTTATTTAGAAAGTCTTCTCGTAGGTTAGGTTAGGTTAACTAGTGTTAACAATGATAATTTACCAGTATCTAATCACGTTTTAAAACTATTGACTAAACATCATTATCCACTTAATAATATTGAATTTTCATAGTTTTTTAAATTGGTTTATTATTATATACTTATCTCTTTAATAACATTCTTATTAGATTAAAATTACATAAAACTTCTTAAATTTCCGAAACTGGGTGTTTCTATGATTTTATATTGATTGTAGTTTTCGATTTATAAAATTAAAATTAAAAATGATTTTTACATACCGGGGTAGTTCTTCACGCGTCGTGTTTGAAAACAACATTTAGGTCACAGCCTCACGTGAAAAATATATCCCAGGTTCAAGGGCGCCCATAAGAAAATTCTCAAGGAGGTACAACATTTTAATTTATCAATCTATTTATAAATAGGAATGACCCACGGTATAGGAAGGGGCTTACAATTTTACATTATACTATTACATTATATATATTAAACTGGAAGACTATAAAATAATAATTATTTAACCAATTTACCATAAAAGTAATTTATTGAAAATGTTATTTAATTAATAATATAAATTGGCCACTTATAACATTAGTTATATTTATTAAAATATTAATTTACAAATATTATATAAATATTATGGTGATGTACACATACATACCGTATTTCTGGAAATACACAATATTTTAAGAATTGATAATTATCCAAAGAATAGAAATGAAAGGGTATTGTCATTTATAGCTGATAACCTGATTTTCCAAATTAAATAGATTTTTCATAAACAAATTATAGATTTTCATATATTAAATTAAATTTTTAAATTTTATTTAAATAAATATATTCTTATAATAGTAAACAATTTTCCAAGATTTTTGACATTTTCCAGGGGAGATATGTCCCTCCCTTCCCTCCATATGGGCACCCTTGTCCAGGTTCTAACTTGTAATGTTTAATGATAGTTTTAACACTCCTTATTGCGACTGGTGCCTATCCATTATACTATTATAGCGTCGAGTGCATTTTAGGGTCGCAAAAATGACGTTTGCCAGCCGCCATTCTAATCCACGCCCGGACAGGATGAACGCCAAAAACACCAGGCTTACGTTAACAGAAGTGGTGGATTATGAATAACTTATTCATAACCCACCAATTCTGTTAACTTATTCCGAATAAGTGTTTGTATTTAGATACTTACTAGTTAACATGAGATTTTTTACTATAGTAAATAATATAATTCCTTATCATTTACAATTATTATTTTTTCTCGGAAACAGAATTTAATTTCTTTATTAAATTGTTTGGATTAATATTTATAATCTACCTTTTTCTTAGTTGTATCATTATTTCATTTCGGAAGAAGTTTTATTAATAAATCATCACATTGGGTTCCGGCGCTGCCGAACTCAGACGTTAAGCGCACCATACACGTTACGATCGGTTTGTCGATTTGCTGACTAATTTAAGATTGACAGATACATTGATAGGTGTATAGTAATGTTTGTCTACCAATCGATGATTGACAAATCGATGGTTTGGAAGTATCGACCGGTCGATTGATGAACAGGTTGACGCATGTTTAGACACGTGTGTGGAGTAATTTATAAACCAACGCGACAATCCTGTTATTCTAGAATTAAAATTTAGTCAGTTTGTGCGCGTTCAGATTGTGATAGTGATTATAATTTTTTTTCTCTTTTCTATGGTCGACATACTTAATACTTAATTAACGAATACTTTAAAAATAAATAAATCAACGGCAGGATAAAGAATAGTTATTATACTTAAAACGTATACTTAACGTCGAACGTAATCACGAAATGTACAGTCTACTACAAACTGAATATTACCAAATACCAAACTTGGTATTCGTCCTATAGAAGTTGATAAACAAGTCGACAATTTGGTAGTTCCGTGTATGGTAAATAGTAGATAGTCAATTCGTTGATCAATTTGTGCTTCGACTAATCGACAAACCGATCGTTACGTGTATGATGCGCTTTACAATCGTGTCAACAGTTTAGTAGTTTTTATTATTATTTTTTTTTAATCAAACAGAGAGATCCTAAAGATCCTAAATGGTGATAGAAAAAAGAAAATGTATGACGGTCAAAACTTTTTAAAATGTATTGATATAATGTAATGATGTAATTCAAATTCGATACGGTTGTAACTATTATTCTTTCATTAAAATTAAAATATTGTAGTAGGTATTTAAAATTATATTGTCTATCATAACAAATACAAACAATTAAAAACTTAATTTAATTAGGCTTATGGAGAAATTAGGATGAATAGGATTAGGATGAAAATACATTAAAGTATTTGGTATTTTTTAGAGACCATACACCACATATCTAGAGAGGCTACCTTAATATAGCCTACTTATTATGGCTGTATGTGCTATTTTTGGGTTGTTATTTTGTTTCAGAAAAATTAGTAAATTAGTAATTTTAAAATTAATAGTAATACTACATCTAGATCTAAAGACATTCGAAAATTTTTTATAGTAGGTATTTAAGTACTTGTTTTATCTTTATTTACGTTTACATTACTTATAGATATAATGTTGAATAAACAAATTATTGTTTACAGTAAAAATTAATATTATGACTTTAAAAAACTGTAAATTAAAATAAAATAGGCACTTTTAATTATTTTATTAATTCATTTTATTGATGTAGACATTATGAAATACATATTACACTGAATGAAATTCATGAATAACCAAAAGTAGGCCTATCGATCGTAATGATATTTTTCAGCTTTTACTTGAAGAATATGATTAATTTAAAAGCAAATAGGTAATTAAGTTTATGTTAAATTTGTTGTGTTTAAAATTAAATATTTTTGTGGATATACTGAACACAAAACGGTCAAAATAGTTTTTAAAAGAGCGGTAAAAGCTAAAACGATTTGCGTCACGTGGAATAAATAAGGCCTAATTCGGTCGATTATTAAAAAAAAAAATAAATGTTACATAAATAAAAACAGAAAAGAATTGTTATTAAATTAATTAATATTGTTCTGAAGTCGTAGTTGTAGCTCTGGATTCTTGTACGACAAACACTTGTGAACCTGGCTGAGCTGATGTTGTTACAAAGCTCCTGTGCTTAGCACGGATTAATGACAGATTGCTTTCAGCAGTGTCGGCTCTGTCTTCTGCAGCTTCCAATTCTCTCTGGAATCGCCTCACTCGGCTCACGCTCTGATGGCTCATACCTTCCTATAAATGTATAAACAATAAATGTGTTAAACACGATAGAAATAAATAAAATCAGTCGTGGGATGTTCACATACCTGTTCTTGTAATTGCCTCTTGTAGATGTTGACTTTCTGGTTGACTTTATCTAGAGCCTCTTGCAAAAGTTGTACATTTTTATGATCTTCTTCGCTCTGTATGATCACTTCCTTTAGCGAACGTTCCTTCTTGCGTAGAATTTTAATACTCTCAGCGTGACGACGTTTCTCTTCATCGATTTCTAATTCCAAGTCACGAATCTGTTTTTTTTTTTTTTTTTAAATATTATGTATTATGTATATTATTGTATATTATACAATTAATTTTTAAAATAATAAATTATTATTATTATTACTCACTCTGGCTTCAAGTTTGCTAATAATGCGTTTGCCACCCACGATAGCGTTGGCTTCGACTTCTTCCAGACGAACAGAAAGGTTCTTAACTTCGATTTCCAGCGACTTTTTAATAGCTTCGATCTTAATCACTCTCTCTTGTTCTTCATGCAATATTTCAACTGTATGTTTCAATTCGATTTGCACGCGTTGATAACGTTCATCCGATACCTTTAAGATACATTAGGGTGAATAAAATACTATAGATTCAAAATTATATATTAACTCATGAATTGTTCCTTACTCTTAACTCTTTCGATACTTCTTCATAGTCTGATACCAGCTGGTGTAATTCTTGTTCGATCTTTGATCTAGATGATGATAAGTTAACGTTAATTGTCGTCAACTCATTTACGCGGCTCTGTGACTCTTCGTACATTTGTTCAACAGTTCGTTTGTTACGCAATGCCTAAATTAAATAGAAATTAAAACTTATTTTTTTGGAAATACTCGGTTAAATATTTTGTTCTCACATTATCGTAATTTCCACGGAGTTCTTCCATTTCTCCAGTAAGAGACTGAATCTTGCGCTGAGCAATAGCCAATTGATCCAATGTAACAGCCAATTGACGTTGGCCTTCATCATAATGAGCTTGCAATTCCTTTAGAAAATATTTTAGTATAAGAATAATTTACAATAATGATAATGTGGAATATGTTCAATTATAAGGAAATATGTCAGCTATTAAATGGAAATTATTAATCAATCTCTATTAGTAAAATATTATAAACATTTCTTTTTAAAATTTCTATTAGTATACAAGTAATAATAATCCTATTTATGTATTGTTTTATTGGTAATTATAAATGTTTTTTCTAGTTACATATATAAACACATAATTAGTTATATAAAAAAAACTAATTAGTCTGTTCTTGTTTGCTGATTCTTGGAAGTTGAAAGAATATTAATATTTTTTTATGTATAATAGTTAAATTAATTTCACTTTTATAACCAAAATAATATTTTTATAAAAGGAACCACATGTAACAGTATTTTAATAGACGTTCTTGTAAAATGTATGCAATATACGAGATATATAGAGATATATACAAAATAAAAATTTACCGTTAAGTGTAGGGATTGCTTTTTGATAGTTTTTTGTAGCTCAATATTATTCTTATTGGCTACATCCAAAGACATTTCCAGTTCAGTTATTTGAATATGAAGCTTCTTCTTGATGCGTGTTACTTCGGTTTTCAATTTAGTCTCGGCTTCAACGACACGAGCATTTAATTGTTCAATTTCGATGCTCGTTTGTTTGCTGAAAATATTAATTTACACAACATTTATTATTAATAAAATCATAATTACAAAAAATCTTAGTAAGAACAGTGAAATGTGTATTTAGTGTATTTCCCTTAGTAGTAGTTCCTTAATAGTACCTTCCATCTTCAAAATAATTTGAACTTTTGGCTTCGAACTTCCGGAGTTCATTAGAAATTTCATACAGAGGTTGTAGAATTTTTGTCTCGTCCAAAGAATTATATATATGAGTTAAATCAAAAATTGTTTTTTTTTTAATTTTAATTTCACCATTGTAGTTTTCTCTTGACGATACTTTTGATGTTATTAAATCTTCAGCAATATTTTTATGCGCGTTTCTCAGCAACGAGGCTTCGATGCTTTTAGCAGATCTACCCCGGAAGTTTTTGGACATTTTTTTTTTTAAATAGACGAATTCAACGTTAATATTGAAATGAGTTACGTTCACTGCCGATCGTCAATAATAACTGATTAATTTTTATAAATGTTGAGCCAGGTCAATCGAGTGTATTTATAAAATAAATCGAAGGTCTGCAGCCCGCGCCAATGTCGATTTACATAAAAGATTCTAATAAGCTTTATATATTTTTTTCTGTTTTCCAAACAGACGTCATTGGCGTGTTAAATATTCTTTCACAATGAAGTTCCAATAAAAATGTTTAAGAATTTTTTTAATGTCTATTTATAAAAGGTTTTTTTTAACATTTTTCATTTGTTTTGTTTATTTATTTTACTTACATATAAATCAAAATATGTATATTATATCCAATAGCAGGTAGTACCTATATAACTTCTGTACATTAAATATTGACCGACAGGGGGGGGGGGGGGGGGGGGTTCTTGACGGAAGTTTTTTTTACCCAAATAGAAAAAGAAATCAAAATTATTATAAGATTATCTCTTAGATTTTTCTCGTATAATTTCTGGAATAGGATTATGATATTTCTAATTATTAATTTACATAATCTCAGTTATAAATATTTATTAAAATTTTTATATGTATTTATAAAAATTGCTATTTCATATTTTTCTTGGTATGTTTGAACAATGTATAATATTTATATACTTTTATCTGTTAAATATTTTAGGTGTTCAGGCAGATAAACTCGGTGGAAGACATAAGCGCCAAAATGAGATAAAAAAAAAAAGTTGTATCGTACGAAAGCACTAAAATTCTAGGTACCTTTGTGCTACGGTTAAATAACAAACAGTAAATTTAGAACTATATCATTAAAAAACTTAAAAAAAAAAAACTAATCGTTATCGACAAATTTTTAATTTTTTATTGGCATTATAAAATTGCAATCAACCAATTTATTAAATTTATATTTATTTGTTATGATATGCCATTTTTGTACTTTTGGCGCTTATTTCATATGTTGGGTATAACAGGTACCTACATGATATTAAATTGGCGCATATGTTATTTAGCCGATTAACTAATACTTTAATCCTTAGTGAAATTTCAAGAGGAAAATCTTACTAGTTCTTTGTGATAAATATCCTAATAATAATTACTTTTAAGTTAAAATATTTTGATTATGCAATTAAAATCTTTCGTCTTAGATAAGAATGATTTTTAAGTTATAAAATAATGTATACATTTATTCCTATTGTAATATTAATGCACCATGGATAACAAATTGTAAACACAAATCCAAAATGATAATATTAAATGGTGTACATTAAATACATAAATAAACTACATTAATTATATTTTATAGTTAAATAAATATTTCATAATTGAGAAATAGGTCAATGTCACAAATAGGTAATGCATTAAAATTGAGCCAATTATTACACTGTAGATCAATTTTTCTAGTGTTCATAAATTTTAGAGTTTATAAATTTAAATTTGTCGGAAGACTAAAATATTTAGAATATTTACTGACTTATTTATCTTGTAATTTAACAATTGTTTAAATACCTACAATAGTAAACAAATATTATAATTTTTATTTAAGTCTTATTTGGAATTTTGGGAGATTTCATGTCTTGAGACAGTTTCAATGGTATTTCCATTCCAAAATAATAATTTAGCAGCCAAAAAAATATCGTAATATACAGCGCTTGACTTGAGGGGGGGGACACAGGGGGACGGAGTACCCCAACTAATTTTCAGAAATTTTAGCGACCCCCTACTATTATTACGTTATAATTATAATGCTCAACAAGTCTTGGGGACGCTATTTTCTTTAAAATAAACAGAGTCCCTCTTTTTTAATTTTGCCAAGTCAAGCACTGGTAATATGTATTTAGATCAAATTAAGTATTAAATATACAACCATTTGTTTTTTAATGTTAGAGTTTATACTATATAGAATGAGATTTAGGATATCATAAGTTATGAGTATGTAGGTACTATTTTGTCAATTTTAAAAGTCTCAGATATATACTCAGTAACATCCTATAAAAAATATAAAGTACTATTTTCCAGAAATTATGATTTGGACTATATGTGTTGGTTAAAACTAAAACTAGAGTAAAATGAATTCTTATGTTTTTGGCGAATATTAAGTGATACAAAATACAATTATGAGTCATATTATAATTTTGGAAGTCATTCAATTATTTGGATTGGTGCCAAAGTGTATTTGGTTGATTTGAAAGTAGGTCAACAATTGTACTTATAAATAGTTACAATTTTTAGTGTTATGAAAAATTAACAAATAACTTTTTAATAATATTTTCGATAGATAGAACTAGTTATACAATATGTGAAATTACCAAATATTTTCAAAATTATGAAGTAAACTATAAAAAAAGATGCAAATTAAATGATAAAAAAAATATAGATATGACTATCCAAATTATATAATTGATTATTTTAATTAATATTAATATTATAAAATTTAAATTACTTTTTGATAACTTATAACTCAATGAAATAATTTTAAAATAAAACAATCATATTTTGAAGTGTTATTATTTTATACAAAATTAATAGTTTATCATAAAAAATCATTAATAGTAATTATTTAATAATTTTTATTATTTTTTAAATTGCCAATAAAAATAAAAAATAAAAATAGAAATTGTCATTTGAAAATTAAAAGTATTTTTATATATAAATATTGAATTTATAGCTACAATATAAAAATAGAAAATTACAAGTCAGTTATAACATTGTACTTAGAATAATATGAATGTAAAATTCTGTAAAAAAAACCAATATTTTTGGTTTAATTTTAATAAAATATCTATACATATATTATAATATTGGTTTCATTTATTAGAGAGACTCTAAATATTAAATATTCTAGATAATAAAAGAATTGATTTTGAATGCCTAAATATTTACACCCAGAAATAAAAAAAATATCACTTATAATTATAAAAATTATAGTTAAATGAAAATATATTTTTTTTGTTTTTTATACATAATTATTCATAATGAAATTGTATTAAAAAAATTTAAAATGTTTTAATATTTTGGAACATTGTCAATATCGGATTTAGCGGGGTTTCATAGAGTGCAACGCACCAGGTCCTCAAGTTCTAAAACCAAAATCTAAAATCGAAAATTGTCTGTTTCGTTATTTTTTATGCTATTTTTTTATTTACTTATTAATTAAGGTACTTAAATTTCGTTTTTTTTTTAATTATACAGTATGTAATATATATATAAATGTTATATTGGGCAATTTTTTTTTTAAGGAGGTTTCAATTGGTATATGCACCCTGGCCTACTGAGACTTACATCCAGCACTGAACATTGTTAAAATCGAATTAATTTAAAATTTAACATTGGTTTTATAAGAACTCTATTTTTTACATTTTTTATATAAAATAAAAGCTTTACTCTGTCTTTTGGTACCATATAGGATAAATCTAATGTATTTTTAAGCATGCAGCATTTTAAAGTATTTTATGGTGATTAGTAACAAGTTTAGTCCAAACTGTTAAATTTAAATTTTACTCAATTATAACATTATTTTTTTTATAATGATACCAATTATTTATTATTAATTAGATGATAAATCAATTTTCAATTGCTTATATTTTTATTTTCATCATATCTCTTTTTTAGGAGTTTATGAAGAAATAACATTTATTAGCAGTGCCGTAATTGAACTACTCGAGACCCGTGTGCAAATCAAAATCTTGAGACCTCTTATCATTGTAAATTTTTGAGCATTTGGCCTTTTGACGCCCCATAATATGATATGTGGCCCAAGGCCTATGTACAATGCACACTCTGCAGAGGCAGAGGCACACCCGATTTTTACGGCTCTGTTTTTTAGTTATTATATTTTTGACGAGAAGTCTAAAATAAACATTTGTGATAACAATATTATCTTTATTTTAATTTTGGCATAATTAAGAATTTATTTTGATGTGCCTACAACTTATTAATGTATTAGTTAGAAACACATTCGATTGTTTCATCATATATTATTGTGAATTGAACATTTAGCCATTTATGTTTTATTTGTTTGAACTATAATTTGTTAAAGCAATACTATTTTTATTCTAAAAACTAATGCTATTAACTCAGTAAATTTTTAGTGAATAAAATAACCCATAAATAAATAAATACCGAATAGATTCAATTTCTTCGTCTTTTTCAGCAAGACGTTTTTCAGCTTCGTGTCTGAATTGAGTAAGCTCAGCAGACAATCGGAAAGCTCTACCTTCCTCAGCTTTTCTTCCCTACAATATCAATATTGAAGCTATAATTATAAAATTAAATCGATAAATAATAATATTATATGTATATATACAGCTTCAGCTTCTTTGTAAGCAGCGCTAAGTTCATCACGTTCATTTTCCAATCTTCTAAGTTCCAATTCCAACTCGTGTAATCTCCTGTTGTATTCAGAAATGGTGTTCTTAGCGTCGTGTAAATCATCTAAATTGAAATTATTGTTACAAAATTGATTTTCATGGAATATATTATATGAATTATATTTACCAGCCAATTTTTTGTTTTCACGAGTAAGTTGATCCTTTTGTTCTCTGGTTTTGTCCAATTCGTGAGTTAATCGTTGAATTTCATTTTGCTTATTCCTCAAGTCCCTCTGACCTTGTTCAAACAATGCAGTGGTTTCATCAAGACGTGTCTTCAAGTCAATGTTAACTCTTTCTAAATGTTCGACACGTTTTTGTAAGTCTCTTGCAGTGTTGTTGGCCTGAGAAATTATAATGTTGTTTTAATGATTTCAATATATACATTTCAATATAAAAAAAAATATAAAATACTTTTTCCAAGTCTATGATCAAAACTTCAACTTCACTTTGTAATCTAGACTTTTGTTTTTCCAAATTGTTAACTTTAACCAAAAGTGTTTCAATATGTTCCTCTTGTTCTTGGATACGTGCTGAGTATTTGCGACTAAAATATATTATTTAAATATAAATAAATTTAAGCTCTTTAATTTGCTTATTTGTTTTAATCACCGTAGCTCTTCAACTTCTTCCGCCCTAGCAGATGCTTCAGAATCATATTTCGATTTCCATGCTTGAGATTCACCATTAGCCTTGATTAGTTGTCTCTCAAGGTCTAAACGAGCCTCAGATTCTTCTTCTAATTGAACTCTTACTGATTCTAATTCAACTTCAACCGAATGTAAGTTAGCTTCCAAAAGTGAACGTCTCTAAAATATCAATATATTTAAGATAATTATTAGAAATAAGTTTATTTTTATTGTGAACTTAATAAATTGTTATTACTCTTTCGTCATCTTCTAATCTCCTACGAGCATCTTCTAATTGTCCAGCGATTTGTGATTTAAGATAAGATGTGTTCTCAATTGATACTTTTAAATCTTGAACTTCTTTGACTAATTCAATATTTTCCTAAAACCATAATGATTATTTAATTATTTATTTAAAAATATTTAGAATTTATTTTTTGTTTTTAACCTGTGACAAACGGGTTTTGATAGAAGTGATTTCAGTAACAGTTCTTGTTATTTCTTCAATACGAATATTAAGTTCGTGAATAGTGATCTCAAGCTTTTCAATTGTCTTGATGGAAGTAAACTGAAATTATAAATAATAAAAAATGAGTCATAATTAAAATATTTTAATTTTAATTTTTTATAAATACTTTTTCCTTGTTGATATTTTCAATTTGTGCCAATAATTCGTATACTTCTTGTTGGAATTTAATCTTTTCTTTTTCGGTCCTAGAAAAAGTAGCTCATTATATAGATATATATATATAATATAAAACATTAAATTTCACTAATTTAAACGAAAATTTATTTCACCTACCTAGCTTTTGCCTTTGCGAGTTGGTCCAATTGTTCTTGGAAATCAACGACAACTTCTTGATGCTTTTTACGCAAAAGATGTGCGGTTTCTTCGGATTCAATGTGAACATCTTCCAACAGTTTCCTAAGTTTCGTTAATTCTGTATCGCGTTTTTTGTTAATTTCAAACTAGTTAAATTAACAAAAACAAGTCTTTATTAGTTAATGTTTATAATTTTTAAAGTTTGATAAATTACTTGGCTTTCGGCTCCACCTTCAGCTTCTTCTAAACGTTCACTGAGTGCTATTAATTGCACACTATAATCAGCCTTTTCTCTTTCAATCTGAATAATAAATAAAAGTAATTTATTATAAAGATATTCTGTCTTATACTCTATTATATGATGAATATTCTTTGTCGTTTAAAAATGAAAAATAATAACGTGTATAGCGAGAAAAATGAATTACTTAGAATATTGTTGAGTTACCCATTTTGTTAGAAATTAAAGCTTTTTTTAGGATGAGTAACACAGTACAATATGTTTATAAACTTATAATTTTATACCTAATCAATAATAATTATTATAAATAAATTAATAATATAATTATTTTCTTTTGTTACAATGAGCCTAGAAAGCTTAGAAAGCCTTAATTTTTAGTAGAACACTTATGATAATTTATATTGATTAAATATTACAATAACAAATTAAACTAAATTATAAAAATTAAATAAATCATTAAAGTATTGTACCAATATTTCATTGTACCGCGTTATTATATGTGATTTTTTTTTTCTACAAAATTAGATTATCTAAACTTTATGTTTAACATCATTCATATTAGTAATTAAAATATCTTAACATTTTTATTTATAATCAACTATATTGTTTTTAGTACGTTGTAATCAGTCAAAGTTTATGTGGTTACAGTGTTTGGTTTTCATTTTTAAAATGTTTTAGGTAGGTACTCGCCAAAATTCAAAAATAAACATTTAAGTTAGATTAGGTGAATCAAATGTGCAGATTGACACATGTCAATGAAACCAGGCTAAATTCCATTCGTAAAAATATAACTGGATGGTCAGCTTAGTGGCTGTTCACACTTCATTCGTCTCGTTCGGCATAGCATCACTTTCTTTGTGCTTATTTTTAGAATACCTTTCTTAAGCTCCGTGCCAAAAAAAATTTAACTTGCGATTTATAAAATAAAAAGGATTAAGGTTTTTCAATATTATTAAAAAGTTAATACAATAATATATATAACATAAAGATTTACTTTTGTAACCAAAATAAGATTTAATTTATTTTATGTAAGTTTTTGGTATTATCGTTTAGGAAAAAATGTTTTTCTTCTGATCTTGAATTTGAAGTGTATTAAATTTGATACGAAAATATGCTTAAATATATAATAATTTTTGAAAAATAGGTATGTATTATTTGAATTTTAAATTTACATTCATTTAAGTTCCTAATTTTGATAATAGCTTATTAATTAAGTATTTCTTAAGTTTCCTGATCTATAAAGCGATACAACACAAATATAATTTATTTTATTAATTATTCATGAAAGTTATGTTTATAAATATATATTATATTTATATATACAACATTTTTTTTTCAAGCTGCAGAAAAAAGTTATTGGTATTAATATTTTCAGAAACTTTTAAAATTGTAAATGTATTAATTAATTAATTCCAATTTAAATTATCAATATGCAAGTTTATTCAACAGCTTATTATTATGAGCATTACAAAGTTATAATTTTGTAATTATACTATTGACTTTTTAAATTGATTATAGCATTTTTATAATTATTACATTGTAGCTTGTTATTTATTTATTTATGTTTCTATTTGTTTTGCTTATTTATATACTTTAATCCGTTACCACATTTGTTTTTATTTTATTTTATTCTGTAATTATTTTTTGTTTTGTACACCAATATCACATACTATATGCAATAAAAAAAATAAATAGATTACACAGTTATAGTATTTTAGGAATTTATAAAAGTCTTACAGATTTAGAATTTAACATATATCAACATAATTTAACACAAATTTTAATTTACATTTGTAATCTAAGTCAGAAATTAAAGAAATGAAATATTTTTGGGAATTATAAGTTTTAAAAATGTTTAAATTAATAAATAATTTTGATTGCTTAGAATGTTTAAATTATATTTATATAAGAGCATAAAACAATGATGCATAAAATGTTCATCATTTTTTACTTTTTTGATATTTCAATTTGAAAATTCATTTTATTTAGTAACTATTCGTTTTAAGATCAAAAAATTAAAAATAAAATACCATTCGGAAAAATTTAATAAAAGTTTGACTCTATTTTATTATATTTATATAATTATAAATAAAGGTTATTGATATATTGTTTATTGAAATGTTAGGTGAAATATTATGTGTTCTGATTTTTTTCTTTATTAAAATTTAATACCTATTAAATTTTAAAATATTAAAAATGACATAGAACCAGTAAAAAATTGACGAATTTCTTTTATGCAGTGAATATTTGTAGGAATATCGTTGGATAACTCAAAATACACCTAAATATGTTTTTAAAATCTAAATAAAAACCGAGTTATTGAAAATAACTGAGCTTACGAATATGTTAATCAGTTTTATTATTAGACCGTATCTAGTATCGTGTGTAAAATAATATTTAGGCATATCACGATGGCTTTAGCTTATATTATGTAATTACTGTTGCCAGGATTCGACGATCTGTTAATATTTTTTAGCATTTTTATATTTTGGTCATTTGCCATGGCAAACAGTGGGAAAATAGATTTGAACTGTCTCATAATTCTGGCAACCATAAAGAAAAGTACTTCCTCACCCCGCTATCGTTGACTATGGTAATTAAGCTGTCCTGCGGTTATTTATAACATAGTGTTGACTTATTTAAAGGAATTCATGTATTTTACTCTTGGTAATACAAATACTTTTGGATCCGATTACGATTGGTAACTAACAAAAATAAGGTGTACACCCAATTTATTTTAAATAATAAGGGAAATCAAGAAATTTAAATCATAATTTTGACAAAAGTTAAGAAATTAAAATTACTCAAACTAAATTTATAATATTATGTTAATTGTATACTCTGTATTTACAGTTAAATAAAAGTTTATATTTGAAATATTGAAAAAAACAAAATTTTTCTGAAAATATGTTAAATATTTTCTTATTATTATTTTGGAAAATTCTTAAATATACCAATGTCTACTAGATTATTTTTGGAGTATACTAAAGACTATTGATTACATTTAATACAAAAAAATAAAACAATTCGTCTGCATTATGTTTTTATCTCAATTAAATAGTAACTTCACTTTACGATTGACATCAACGTTATATTATGTACTTACACGTTGTCGAAGTTCACGTTCAGATTCTAAATCTTCTTGCAAAAGTCTGATCTTATCCTAAAGGGAAAAACAAACGTAGGAATTGGTTAATCAAATCAAAACAGTAAATTTATTTAATTGTTTATATTGTAAGGGGCTTGAGGGTAGGCGGCTTCACACCGTGCTTCCTTCAGACTACCAAGAAGAAGAAACCTCTCTCCACCTACCTCAAAAAAGCTATAATTCCCTATTCCATTTTTCTTAAATCTGTGAACAAAATATTTTATAGTCTCAATTGACCATTATGAACAATATTCGTTCTTCTTCTGGCAGCTGAAGATGATTAATAAACCTGAAAAATGTGATTTATTCTATTTTTATGGTACCTAAACATAGTGAGTTGATAGCTTTAGGGAAAAATATTATTGGATATATGATTATGTAACTCTGATGAAATTTAGTGTGCATGTAATTTTGTTTTTACTTACTTCAAGCCGAGATAAAGCGCTGAGGTCGTGACTGTAGTCGATGTTTATGTCAGCGTTTCCGCCTCCGACCGATCGGTAACTGTAAGACTTAGTCGTCTTGGTTGAAGACATGTTTACACCAAATAAAACGAACGGTTAAAAAATAATTTTTTTCAGTATCACTAGAACTTTGAAATCGCACTTAAGGTTGAAACCGAAAATATTATAATTATTTTTAGATTATCCAAGCGCTGAGGATGGACCGAGCTGAGCTGCCGTACTTAACTGAAGGCTGTGCGTCCGACTAGTACTAGCCCCCATTTTCACGCCCACTCACAAGTTTCTCCCTCCACATACTTTTTGTTTACTTCTAGGGCTGGAGAGTAACGAACTTGAACATTTGAGGTCGGCTCTTTGTGTCCTTGAAAGACATATCTAGCTAAAAATTACTGGAAATAAATACCACACAAAAAGATGCAAGCATTTTTAATGATTATAATTATTTCAAAAATTAATATCTACATATTTAAAACTAATCCCAAAAGTATATTTATTTGCACTATTTTTAGCATCATATTTTTTTTAAGTTAAGGTTCAAAAATACACAATGAAAAAAATAGTTGCCAGAATATACATTTATATAGTGGTTTTATATCTACAACGATAAGAAGTAATTTCAGAATAACTTTAATATTTAATTTAAAACGTTTAGGTATGTTTCTATATTATAATTTGGTACTATTGAATTGAATTCTAACATTTAAAAATTTAAGTAAAATTAAAATTAAATTATTATACTACAAGAAAAAGAAAATTTTTTGTTTTAAGATATTAATATGTAATAGGGAAATAAATAAAAGTCGGTCATTATTTAGTGACCGTTCCTTATACTTAATAGTTTCATTAATGCTCATATTAATAATTAATAATATAATAATAATCAACTTATATTGGTTTCTATTAGTTAATTATAAGTTATTGCTAAGTAAATAAAAAATGATGTTCTTAATTATTTTTTATCAAAAAGCTTTTGGAAAACGGAATATGTGATAATTAAAGACCGGATTTACATGCATCCTAAATTGTAAAATATACACATTAAAATACACTAAAAATAGTTAAAATATGTAAGAATGAAATGAAAAACATGCAAAATAAAATTTAATTTTTATTTAATTTTATATTTGATTTTATTTTGAAGTGATAATTATTTATTCATTTTATTAAACTTTAGAATGTTGGGCATTTTACTGTTTAAAAGTAAATTGGTTAATTACAAAATAATTTTCGGCGAAAAAACACGTATACTCAATACATTAACTTGGCCAAAACATTATTCTTAGAAACAATTTTCTTGTATTTATAAATGTAGCAGAGGTTGTAATAATGTACCTATTTACTCCTATGTTCTTTCGGATATTTTATAAACAAGATTAGATAAAATAGGTAAAGCCATGTCTCCAGTATAAAACTCGTATAACTAACCTATGAAAATTTATTAATCTACTTTTAGCGTTCGAATATTCTTTGAGAGGTAAAATATTTGATGTATAAACATACCTATAATCTGTTTTTTTTTTTTTAACTCAACACCTTTTTTTGATTGTTAGTTATATATTTGCACATTATTTTTGTTAAAATATTGAAAAATATGCTGAACATATAATAACGTCAGAATATTCAGAAATTTGTTGTATAAACCGATATCATTGATAATGTATACCTTTTAGCATATTTGACAAATCTATTAGGCTATTTAATTTATAAATAATAATTGCTGAAGTTTATTTTATTTATTGAGTTGAATATGACTTAACTGATGGATATTTGTTTTGCAGAAAATAATATTTTTATTATTACCACTAATTTAATGAATATAATGAAAATAATTTACTAAATTTTATTTTCTGTTTTTTTTTTTTTTTTTTTTATGCAATTGAATTGTAAACCACAAAATTATAAAATGCAATGTACTTGACATCCTTTAATGTGTTAGTTTCAGAAATATCTGAAAAAAATTTAAAATGAAGATGTTATTCTTTTAAAATGTATAAAGTAATAAACAATTATTTTGTAAGAAAAATAATATTTATTATTTTTTCATATTATATATTATGCATAGTATTTAGCAGGTGAATGCTTATTTCATAAAAATACAAAATTAGACAATATATTTTATGTATGTATATTGTTATAAGATAAATAAATAAATTATTAGTTTTAATTTATAATTAATAATAAAATTTAAGATAAATACATTATGAAGAGTGAAAAAGTGTATCTATTTTATTTTCATAACAAAAAAAACAATCCAATAAAAGCCATTGAAAAGTGTCTATTAAGTAAGAGTTCATTGAATAAGTGACAATCGATAACCTATTTTATAAAAGTTAAATTGTTACTATAATTGTATTATTTTTTGTACACCTATATTACATTTCGGCTTTAATATTTTGTATGTGCCTTTATTGTTTTATAATATTGTATTTTTGAATTTCCTTAAATTTTTATTTTGATTTGATATAACTATTTTTTTATGTCTTAAATATAAAAAATAATATATGAAAAATAATTTCAGTTTCATATAATTTTTATTTATACTTTAACTATCGGCACATTGTTTCACGTTATTTTATGAATATAGATAATAATAACCGTTTTAATAATTAAAACGGTTAATATTATTCAGAATTATTCTGATTTGATATCTTAATAAAAATCTACTAAATGTGGTGATGATTTTGACGAGATTTAGTTAACTTTTTATGCTTAACTTTCATTTTAATTTAATTTTGACCAATATTATGATATTTTATCTTGATGTATATAATATAATATGTTAACATTTTTATATGTATATAAAATTATGTGAACTAATATTTTTTTAGAACATTAAAAATACATTTTAGACGCATTTCTGAAAAACATGTTAAGCATAACACTTAAAATATACTATTGTTAAAATGTTCAGTTAAATATAATATTCAGAGCTTTTAAATATTTTGGTGTGTTGTCCTAGTTTCGTGATTTATCATGAAGATTTTTTTAACTTCTGATATTCTATATCTTCACCCATAATTTAAAATGGTGAAATGTACATAGTTAATGACAGGGAAACGGATTATTTTGATTAATATTTATTTGTTGAAATTATATTACTATATCTTAAACTGACGAGTTATAATTTATATGGCTTCATCTGCTAAGTATATATTGTGTCAAGATGACATGTCGTTAAAAATACGATTTGTGTCATTCATGTGAGGACTAGTTATTTTTTGTGTACATTTACGTTGGCATTTGAAAAAAATCCTTTGATGTAACTAATGTATGTTTACAATAAATATTTCCAAATTTAATTAAAAATGTTTTTCTATTTTTTATTATCACATTTTCTAATTATATTTGTAATAGGTACATGTTAAATTTATAAAGTTATAAAATTATATATCTGATGACTTGTGCGTATTATTTAAATAATTATATTCAATTAAACTTAAATATAATTAATGTAACACATTGAAAAGTAATTGTATTAATGTTGTCAAATAATTTTAATATACAAAATTATGGAAATAGCAGTATATTGTAAATAATATTAATATTATACTATTTTACCTACTTAATATTACTTTGAACTATACATTTTATTAGTTTGAAAAGTGTTGATTTAGAATATCAAAAATATCAATTAAAATATGAAATTACCATCACGTACTTGTATTTAAAATTATTGAACTGAACAAAAATAGTTACTGATTATATTACCATGGCCATGGCCATTTTCTTCTACTGTTTATTATTTTCTCCATTTTTTTAATTTTTTGTTCACCATTTTACACCATTATTAAAATAGTCATATTTTAATGTTATAAAATATGAAACAAGTTTAAATTTAAAATTTTCTTTTAAATAAGTTCAGGTTAATGCCGGTCACCGGGTAAAATATAAATTAAATAATGGTTTATAATTTCAGTATGAGAGTTGGTCGAAGAAAACTATAAATCACAAACAACACATCTACATATTAATATAATATTTTAAAATAGTTAAGATTTTGTAAATATTTATATACATTTGCATTTATTGTATTAAATTAATTCTAATAAAGTAATAAGAAATAATACTTGAATTATCGGTTTATAATTTTAATGTAGATAGTTGGAATTAAATAATAATTTATATTTTCTAGCGTCAAATGTAGTCCATTGGCAAATTAAAAAAATATTGATTAAATTGCTATTTGAAGAACATTTTCTATGATATTAGTGTGTGATGAAATATAAGAAGTATTCTTATAAAAGTATGGAAATTTAGAGAAGAAAAATAATATCTCAATTTTTGAAGGAAAATAGTTCCTGTTCAATGTTATAAAGCATTAATATTTTTAATGTTCTTATGGTATTTCGTTTTATTTTGATTGACTTTAATTATAATATTTAATAAAACCAAAAAATGTATTTTAAAATTGAAATTATAACTGATTATTCTTTCCGACTTGTAATGAATATAATATTATTAAATAGTTAACAGTTTTGTGTTTTTTAAAAAAAAAAAAAAGATAGGATTAAAATGTTTTAACGAAAAACCAAATCGATACGACTGTTAAAAATAAACAAGATAATCATAACGAATTCCTGAAATATTGTACGGGTGTACTACACACGTTAGCATAGCATTGTCATCTCTAGAAATAGAACGGAGTGGGGCGCAAAGGGCCTAATCTGGCTCGGTGGACCCGTAGGCGTTGAAATATTCGCTGAAACGCTGTACAACGGGTCGTGAACAAACATGGGACATTAGTATATTTATACATTTTTCTTGATTACAAAAAGTATCAGTGTCTGTTTGAGGATTGTGCAAGATGCATTTATTAGTATCGACATTTCTTTGTGTTGATGAGACTTTAACGCAGACGGCTGTTTTAATAACATACGCTTATTAAGAACCGAATGTATTATTCGATTTTTGATATAATTTAATTTTTTTTTTTTTTTTGATTTTTCGCTGTAATTCTAATTTCACGTACGTAATTCTTGTTTTGCGTTTGCACGACGAAAAAAAAATTAATTTACTTAGGTATTTTCTCTTGGGCCGGATTTATGGAGCTACCGTGATATCCCTGGAGTAACGCCAGCATAGGTGTTATGGGACCCAGAAAAATAGAGTGGGGTAGGGATTTTCACAGTCAGTTGGGTGGTGTCTATAAAAGGTTCGACGTAACACGAACCCAACCGAGTGGTTCGTGACAAAATTATTTCGGGAACTTTTGAACGTTCGTCATCCCCCTCCATTTTTGCCAG